CAAGACTGTGGCCTGGTCAAGCCTGCCAAGTCAGATGGTTGATCCTGTCAAATATCTCAGCATGGTTCTTCAGCAAGCCATGCATGTGACAAATATCATCCCGGGTCCCGTGTCGGCATCCCCACGTCCTGCAACAGCTCGAAGGAAAGCATCATAGCATGCCATACCAAAAAGTAAGCACGCACAGCAACACGCCTGACTAAAAGTTTTGCTCCGTGTTACACACAAGACTGTGGCCTGGTCAAGCCTGCCAACTCAGCTGGTTGATCCTGTCAAATATCTCAGCATGGTTCTTCAGCAAGCCATGCATGTGACAAATATCATCCCGTGTCGGCATCCCCACGTCCTGCAACAGCTCGAAGGAAAGCATCATAACATGCCATACCAACAAGTAAGCACGCACAGCAACACGACTGACTGAAAGTTTTGCTCCGTGTTACACACAAGACTGTGGCCTGTCAAGCCTGCCAAGTCAGATGGTTGATCCTGTCAAATATCTCAGCATGGTTCTTCAGCAAGCCATGCATGTGACAAATATCATCCCGTGTCGGCATCCCCACGTCCTGCAACAGCTCGAAGGAAAGCATCATAGCATGCCATACCAACAAGTGAGCACGCACAGCAACACGCCTGACTGAAAGTTTTGCTCCGTGTTACACACAAGACTGAGGCCTGGTCAAGCCTGCCAAGTCAGATGGTTGATCCTGTCAAATGTCTCAGCATGGTTCTTCAGCAAGCCATGCATGTGACAAATATCATCCCGTGTCGGCATCCCCACGTCCTGCAACAGCTCAAAGGAAAGCATCATAGCATGCCATACCAACAAGTGAGCACGCACAGCAACACGCCTGACTGAAAGTTTTGCTCCGTGTTGCACACAAGACTGTGGCCTGGTCAAGCCTGCCAAGTCAGCTGGTTGATCCTGTCAAATATCTCAGCATCGCTCTTCAGCAAGCCATGCATGTGACAAATATCATCCCGTGTCGGCATCCCCACGTCCTGCAACAGCACGAAGGAAAGCATAATAGCATGCCATACCAACAAGTGAGCAACCACAGCAATACACCTCACTGAAAGTGTTGCTCCATGTTGCACCCAAGTCTGTGGCATGGTCAAGCCTGCCACGCCAGCTGGTTGATCCTGTCAAATATCTCAGCATGGTTCTTCAGCAAGCCATGCATGTGACAAATATCATCCCGTGTCGGCATCCCATCGTCCTGCAACAGCCTAAAAGGAAAGCATCATAGCATGCCATACCAACAAGTGAGCACGTACAGCAGCACACTTGACTGAAAGTGTTGCTCCATGTTGCACCCAAGACTGTGGCATGGTCAAGCCTGCCAAGTCAGCTGGTTGATCCTGTCTAATATCTCAGCATGGTTCTTCAGCAAGCCATGCATGTGACAAATATCATCCCGTGTCGGCATCCCCACGTCCTGCAACAGCTCGAAGGAAAGCATCATAGCATGCCATACCAACAAGTGAGCATGCACAGCAACACGCCTGACTCAAAGTTTTGCTCCGTGTTGCACACAAGACTGTGGCCTGGTCAAGCCTGCCAAGTCAGCTGGTTGATCCTGTCTAATATTTCAGCATGGTTCTTCAGCAAGCCATGCATGTGACAAATATCATCCCGTGTCGGCATCCCCACGTCCTGCAACAGCTCGAAGGAAAGCATCATAGCATGCCATACCAACAAGTGAGCACGCACAGCAGCACACTTGACTGAAAGTGTTGCTCCATGTTGCACTCAAGATTGTGGCATGGTCAAGCCTGCCAAGCTAGCTGGTTGAACCTGTCTAATATCTCAGCATGGTTCGTCAGCAAGCCATGCATGTGACACTTGGGTTATGAGTTGATCCACAACTGCTGATGAGTTGAACAGTCCACGATGTAGCGAACGACACCACTGTAGCTGCCATTGCCGAATACAGAGACTGAGGCATCTGACCACTGTGAAGGGGTTCTCACGTTGTGAAGGGTCAGTTCTTACACCCAGAAAGATGCCCAGATGGAACCTGAAGGACCTTTGGAAGACGATTTTCCTCTACAACCCACTGGTTTTCAGGTTCCATGTGGACCTCGGAACCAGTTCGTGTACCTTCGAACCCGGAGAGTCCTCTTTCGCCATTTCGGTCATGAGATACCTCGAGGTCATCGAGCCATGAAGGTCATCGAGGCCACCGAGGCCCTCGAGGCCAATCGAACTGCGGAACGAGTGGAAGAGTGGAGTGGGGTGGGTGAATGTCACAAGAAAGGCAGAACAGGTTACAAGGATCACCAGAAGAACGCACAAACACATATATTATATATAAGTTCTTCAGTTCTTCAGCTTTTGATAGCTTTTGTTATTCTTCTTATTGTGAACTTCTGGTCCTTCTTCAGTTCTTCCCGTTGTTCCGGATTAGTCTGGTCAACAAGAACCAACGAAAGAACACGCACAAACGTTTTGCCCGGTCCGGCATCTGCCACCGGGGTCTCCCAACGAAGGCGCGTGGCATGGCCTGTCGAGATCGGAAGGTGCAAAGATCTTCGTCTGGGAACAGTCTGGTCCGGATGATACTGGATGTCTGGGAAAAATCCATGTCATGGGTGAGATGTTCGTGGTTTCGCATCAAGTGGATTGTGCAGAGTCCGATTGTGTTCTGTCGAACCAGGGGTTACAAAAATGATAGACTCATGAGTATCCGTGAGTGGAGGGGCGCGCTGAGAACTCCATTTAACATGTGCTGCCACATGGAAAACTCTGGAGGTTTAGCTGGGGATGGACTTGGGCCCTAGTGGTGATCTCCATTGGAAGAAAGGTTCTGAAGCATCTGGGCTTGTCTCGCTAACCATGCCAAGGAGGATAGAATTCTTAATTCTTCAAATAGTCACCTAGGGATGGAGATGGGTATACCGTACACTAGTCGATATGATGGTAACTCACCAAAAGTTCTGTATAGTTCTGTGTATGCGTAGACCGAACATCATCAGAATCGTATATAGCTTAGGTTGTTACTTCACTCAGGAATCCCGAGCTCTACAGAGCTCTATACGACTGTAACTCTATGAACTCGCCTTTTGATGTCAAACTCTTGATAAATCAAACCCGGTCGATCCCGGTCGACCGGTGCTGTGCTGTGCCCTTCGGCCTTGGGCTTGGCGATGACCTGGATCCGATGCTCCACGACGGTGGCAGATCCGTCGTTCCAAGGAAGATGTGGATTCCACATAAAAAAAAAATTGGTCTGTGTGGCATGTTACGTGCCAACATGTGCCAACAACATATTAGCTTTGGCAATTACTTAAGATGTTCAACCAATTGTGGTGGGACAAGGCAGTGAGATGATATGGCTAACTCACTTAGTTCCCAACTTATGTGGCAAACAACAAGGAAATGCTCTTGACTCTTGACTCTTACACATCAATTAACATGTTCATATTGTTCTTTTATTTTTTTTCGAAGTTGAAACGATTCGCCTTGGTTTCACACTGTGCAAGTCGGAGACTAGGGTGGAGCAAGCTCATAGACTCGTCATAGACCGTGCAAATAAGGGATTCCTGTGCTAATTATTCTCGTCACATACTCCATGTATATCCTGGACAGACTGTCGATCCACAAAAGAAACCGAATTGACTCGACCATTTTCCTTCCAAACATACCAAACCGGTCAAACCGGTCAAACCTGAAGCTGCGCCCAACGCACGCACGCACGCACGCATCGTCGCGCCTTGCCAGACTCATCGTCTGTCACCGGGGAGACATGTTCCTGCTCCTGGCTTCGTCAACGAGTCGATGTGTCCCTCTGGACCGCAAACCTGATTCCTCGTTGATTCCGGTCCCCAAAGGTCGTGCACGTACCCGGTGGGTCCCGTTGGGTCCCCACGGACCTGGCTCCCCAAGTCGTTCATGTCCAGGACCTGTTCGGGGTCCGTTGCCACTACGCCGGAGCAGCGGAGCCGGTCTCCAAGGCCAACGGCACCTGCCCTCCCGAGGCTGTGAGGAACTCAACCTCCACCACCAGTCCCCATGGGAGGTTGGTTGACAGCCATGGTTCATTTGACATAGTCAACCAAGCTCCCATGGGTACTGGTGGTTGGGTTCCTCAACCTCCCCCAGTCCCATCGAATCTGTGTGTTAGCCATGACTCAGTGGTTGGCACTCCAGGGTTCCCCGGTGCCATTGAGGTCGTCCCCAACCTCATCGGAGAGCTCCGACACCGGCGAGATCTGCTCCTGGCGCCGCGAGCGCGCGCCGCGAGGGAGAACGTGGTTCTTCTCATGGCAGGCTATGGCGGCGATGATGCTCCACAAAGCCCGCTGCAGAGGACCAATATGGACCTGCAAAAAAAACACCTGGTGCTGTTGAGGAAAAAACTATTTAAAAAAAACGGGTCTATACGAGTTGTTGGACGTGTATACAGGTTTTCTTCTGAAAGGACACCTCGATTTGTATATGTTGTGTTACAACATGTGTTTGTTAAACAAAATGGTTGCCCGCACATATGCAGAGTTGACGCTGCTTCCTGCAATGACACACCAAAATGTTGTTTCCAAACGCAACGGGAATCTGTAGCCGCGGAACAACATATTATACTGTGAGTGCACTTGATGACGTGATTAACAACTAACAACTATATATATAAAGTGTTTTTTAGCCCACTGACTTTCACTCACAGAATGCTAAGCCCAAAATATGTTCTTGTTTCCTCCCCGTTCCTTCCCACATTGTCAAATCAAAACAAAACCATAGGCATAGGCACCCAAAACATTGGTTTCTTGTTCACGCCCATTCTGGCTTCACATTTGCAAAAGCCGGCACAACCCGCTCAAGTGAAAGCAAAATCCATGTCTCTCCTCTGCCTTTGGGTCAATGGGTTTCATCTCGTCGTCCTGCCACTGCAGCCACAAGTTCAACCGTTCAAGGTCCAAAAAATAGAAAATCACGTCGATGGGAATGCAGTTAGGATTTCATTGTGCCGAAACAAACAAGATGTCGTAAACAAAGTCAAGCTCATTATGACAAACATATTGAGGAATTGCTGTTGTAGTGTGTGTGTGTGTGCGTGTGTGTGTGCCGACTTACGGTAATTGAACTTCGTTGGCTATACAGTCATCCTACAAACATGTACTGCCACCAGCTGCATCGCTGCAGTTGCTGGTGCCCTTGCCTCTGGCTCTCCGATAGGCGATTGTACCGTAGGTGGCACAGCTGCCATAGCCCTTGGCACGCTGGAGAGTGGCAGTTGCCTGTATCGATGGCCACATCAAGCCTGGGCCATGTTCAGGCAATGGCGATCTAGCCCCTGAGGTTACTTAAGCTTAGAGGTAGCTATCCAGCCATTTACTGCAGAATTGCTCGGCCATGTATTGATGCTGCCAAGCATCCCAGTGGCCAGTAAACAGGCCTGTGCCCTCCATAGTTTCCCAGGCTCTCATCAAGCATTGCTTGAAGCTATCTTGCGGAGCTTGCTGGTTTACACCAGCTAGTGAGTGGCCCTTGCCACAACTGCCACTTGCCACTGTGGGAAGTTTTCGTGTAAGTTCTGCAGTCCGGCCGTACAACATTTGCATTTGTTACCTCCAGTAGTTGCATCCTGCAAGTGGCTGGACCCGGCCATAGAAGACCCAACATCTTAGATGGCAATCGAGCCGCTCACCCTTCTTGCTTGAGGTCTGTGGGCTTCAGTGTTTTGATGCACTCAGTGACATCCAGCCGTTCTTGGTGCACTAAACCCAGCGTGTGGCTGTATATCCGGCCACAAACAAGCACTGAGACACATGTGGCTATCCAGCTTTTGGCTGTCCAGCCTTCTTGCGGTTGTGTTTGGCCCACGGCTTGACTTTGTCAGCAGAGTTGCCAGCCAGCAGCTGCTTGGCCCTTGTAGTTCACTGCAGTGGGCCACTTGCTTTGCCAGACTTCTTTTTGATTCCAGCTTTTGTGTCTGCAGCAAAACATTGACGTTTTTCCTCCTTTGTCACAGGTTTCTTGAGAAACATCCTCTCACGATTTTACTTCATGGCAGGTGAAGGCAAAGCCCACTCCTGGGTTTCAAGGAAACCTGCTTCAAGCAAAACTTATACTGTTTCTATTAACTGTTGCCACTTGCCCTGCCATCGATGATTTTCAAGGTTCAGCCTCTGCATCCAAGGGTTCGTCAATCGTTCCTGCCAGTAACGATGTGTCAAGATTGCAAGCTCCCCCCTCCCTGCATATATCTTTGAACCATGGTACAGTTCCGATATCAATGGCCATGGCCCATTGAAGCGACCGTTGTCTCATTCCCCCCCAACTCCACTTGCAAGATTGTGAAGCGGCCCCCAAGGGCCATAGCACTTTTAACAGAAAAGGGGCACTAAGAGAGGCTCTACCTACTTCTCGAGCTGTCCCTGCTCGAGTTTGCACCCTGTGATCTGCCAGGTACTCACACATGTTGGATCATGTTGGTGTGTTGGTGTGTAGGCAAAAGCCTCTTTGCAAGCACGTCCAAAGGTGAAAACAGACGAACGAAATTGCACTGTTTGATCTTCAAGTCCGATTGAACGAACATGAAAGAACCGATGCGCGTTGGACATCAACATACGTTCATTGTTATGTCCTGATTACTGGAGTCTCAGGGTATGTCCAAACCTCTTGGAATTCGGCTGCTTCACGTGATTTGCTTCGCTTCAGGACCGGTCCTCACGTTCCCAGAGGTCCCAGTCTTCTCCACGTTCCACCTGATGGAAAGGAGGTCAAGGTAGGGGCCACGAAATGATCGCGAGTGCGATGGTCTTACAGTAGGTGTTGAGCCTGGAACGATCTACCTCTACCTCTTAGTGTGAACATCAAAACCCCAGCGAAACTTGACAGAATTACTCCACAATCAGGTTACCAGCGTAGCTTTGTCTCAATGTCGGACCTTCGTGTCAGCCACCTTACCCTCAGCCACTTCAGCTTTCTCATCTTTTTGTGTTGCCTCATGTTGCTCATCCCAATCCTGCGAATGCCAACTCGGGGCAGTCGAGGCAATAGCAAAACATATACACACTATGTAAAGGATTCTTGATTGCCTTGAGCTATCGGAATATGAATCCACAAGTTCTTTAGACCAATTCAACTCACTCTACTATCACCAACCATATTACCACAATATGCTCTCAGAAAGGGGGCACTGAAATTAACGTTGGACATTGACTGTGTGCGTGTGTCTTTTTGTGTTGTCGTTGTTGTTGTTGTTGTCGTTGTTGTTGTTGTTGTTGCTGCTGTTTTTTTGTGGAGAAGAACTACTTTGCATTCCCCTCCTGTTGAAAGACGTAGGTTTTAGTGGGTAGGTCAGGGATCTTTTTTCATGGTTTTCCAGATGTAGAAATATATTGTATATTTAAACATTTTGGACTTACAACAGATGATCTTCACATCCGATTAACAATCAAACACAATCATTGATCTCCGATGGACATCAACATACGTTCATTGTCATGTCTTTATTACTGGAGTCTCAGGGTATGTCCAAACCTGATGCTTCGGGCTTCAGGATGCACGACTCTTCCAGCCCGGTCCTCGTGAGCCCAAGAGTCCCAGTCTTCTCTACGTTCCACCTGATTCCAGGGGGGGCCAGGGGGTTCGCCACGAAATGATCGCAAAGCGGTTCAGTCTGACACTGTGCCGCTGACAGAGACAATCGACACCCACTCTCCTGGATTCTTTTTCTAGGTCTTCCTGAAACAAAATATCAAAGCTTCTCACTATGAGTGCACTCTCAGCTACTCTCGGCAATTAATTCCAGATTCACGCCAAAATCAGGTTGCAAGCGTGGCGTCGACTCAATGTCCGACCTTCGCGTTGATCAACTCAGCCTTCGCCACTTCAGTTTTCTCGTCCTTCGTTTTTTTTTTCTTGTTTTTCCTCCCAAACCTGCGAAGGTAAACTCGCGGCAGTCGCGCTTGCCGGAGCAGTAGAACATACAACATATTTTGGCCTGGGAAAAGAATTGCAACAAGGTAACTTTTGAGCACTTCAATTCCACTGTACTACCCCGTGGGAAGCCAGCACCTAGTGAAAAAAAACAGTCAAGTGAACCTTGAACATGGCCTCGGCCTTCCCGGAGCAGTGGGGCCGCCTGTTGTGGGTGGGGATTAAGGTCAACAAATTGAGTTTTCAGCAGCTCTTGCTGTGGATGGTTTGCTCATTTGGGGCACCCAAAGCATGACTCAGGCTTGACCTTGGCTGAGTAAACATACTTTGTTTTCCCAACCCCCTGGCAATTAAAGCGAATGCAGAAACAGGCCCTACTAGGCCTATTAAGGCTTATTAAGGCCTATGTATCCCACTCAAAAACTCAGCCTAGGATTAGCTCGGAGAGAGAGAGAGAGAACAACAACAACACTGCAGGTAGCTGTGTTTGCAAAGACTGCGTGATTTCAATGTGCGCTGTCTAAAATATAATGTTGTTTTTGTATCTATTTGTATATCATAATGAAATACTATGGAAATATATCATTAATCAAACATATGGACCATTGGATTTGTTTGAAGCATTTTGGAGCTCATATGCCCCTATCCACATCTATCCCAGTTTTTCCCAGCACATATCATTACAATTCAGTATACAAAATAGTGCATGGTAAAGGTTAGAAGAAGGTGCTGCGCTAAGATGCGCTAAGAGTGATATGATGTGATATGTATAAAGCACAAATATCGCGCAATGCATGCGCATGGCACACCAAATGCAGGTCAGTACACTGGGACCTTTATGGTGGCAGGACGCTGGGACCGTACGCGGTCTGGGCCGCGGCGGGCGTTGCCATCCATCGACGGGAAATCTGGAATCGGATGGAATCAGCTTGGACATGGTGAAGCACGGTGCATGTGTTGAAAGAAAATAAAAAGGTCATAAAAGGTCCCTAATTAGGTATCTCTGGGTAGATTCAGGAATTATGCTCAAGTATGCTCGTGTATGCTCAGGTATTCACCGTTGTCAAAGATGATACTCAAGGTTCTTTCTGATTTAACCATGGTACCGAGATGGTGTCATAGCCGCATTCCAACACCCTGCCTAACGGACGCCGAACGAATGCTGCCAGAACATGCCAAAAACCGAACCCCCTGGGGATACCTTGCATTACCTTAATATCTGGTGCGACCTGTGTACGACTTCCCGGATATCTATGCGGGGACACCGGGCACAAGCTTCACTGCCCTGCACAAGCTTCAGCTCGTGGCACTGCCCTGCACGCTCAAAAGCTTCTGGCATGCTACTCTGGCCACTCCCACCGAGTTCAGTCACCCATGTTGTGTTTCGCCTTACCCCGAAAAAGACCGAGACAGCATCCGAACAGTTACGACATGTCCCCAAAGCAAACCAAAGGCTTTTTGAAGAACACAATACATGAAGCACGTGCAAAAAACATCCTTAAAACTAACCTCATAGCTTGCTTGCAATTTGGAATGTGAAAAGAGACGACTTGGACTGGTTGCAAGCGCACTCAGTCGCTTGAGGTTCAAACCTGCTGCTCCGAGTTGAATGTTCTGCGAATCCTGGCCTTGCTTTCTTCTTCTTCTTGCTTCAGGGCCTTTTCGGGGCTGTAGCTTCTGGTTTCATGGCACTCGTCCGACTCGTCACATTTATGTATACAACTATATACGTTATGTGTGACATTGTGCGACATAGCCATTCTGTTTGAGAACAGGCTGCTTTTGAAGCGATTGCAACCCAAGTGCTTGAGGAGTCTGGCTTAGGAACCATTGACGTCTCTTGGCTAAGCATCAATTCAAAAGGCTAACATGAACAAGAGCACTGTCAAATAAGTGGAACTTGCGACTCAGAGTCACATCTGCAGAACCAATGCAAGAAGTGATGGACTTTGACTTACATTAAAGGACAGGCTGAAGGATGCAGCAA